TTTTACCAGGTTATCGAAAAAAAACTTTTTTACTTTAGAAGGGCAAACAGATTCTTATTTTTGGGGGAAATTTAAAAGTTTTATCACTCCTGCAGATGTCTTTATTTCCAGGCTTGTCTGGTGCTTTCCTGCTTTTCCCGGCCTTTTTGCTTTCTTTGGGTATATTTTTCACTTTAACACTGGGGCAAAAATTTTTCCCCCCTTTAAATTTTCTTTTTAAAAAGTGCTATCTTTCCATCCTTTTTTCCCTTTTTTGGGGGAGGGAATTTTGGGAAGGTTTTCCTTTTAGTGTAAGCAAACTTTAAGGTAATTTCCCTTTGTCCCATTTGTTTCCCCAGTTTTTACGGGAGTTTTTATTATAAAGTAACAAGTAAGAACTTCACTCATGGGTTTTTACCAGCATGTTGAAGTTTAACAATACCGCATTTTGTATGCTTTTTTAAAAAATTGGGGGATAAGGGAAAATGGAGGGAGTGGGAATGTCTGTTTAAATGAAAACCCCTTGTATGGAAATGTCCAATGCAGTGGACAAGGTTGTGTGTTTTGGGGGGCCTACTGGACATGCCACTACTGTAACAAAACACATTCTCCGTGCACAGATTTTTTTCTGTTGCATCGAAAATTTGGGTTTAAGCTAAAACAACATTTAAAAAAACTTTACAACATACTACCTATATTAAAACACGGGAAACATATTTTCCACCATTCAAACACTTTTTCAACTTACTACCATACATTTAAAACTTGGGCAACATGTACCATACATTGAAAAAACTTTACAACGTACTACCATCAAAGTAAAAGGGCACAATGCAAAAAAATGTGACATTTTTGTGGAAAGCTTCGCTCTCCAGGGGCTTTTTTTCAAGTCCCTTTTTTATCAAAGCACTAAAAAAAAAAGGCAGGAGATTTAAGTACCTTTCCAACCCCTTTTTAAAATAAAAAAGGGTCACAAGTGCTACCCCCTCATTTTCAACACTCTTTTAAAAAATCCATTGAAACCTCCACCTTCCCCACAGTACCAAAAAAGCAAGGGGCAAACCCCCATCCCCAAAGGAGGAGACCCAAAAAAGAGTTGAATAACTAAAGGGCCAAATCCCAAAATTAAAAACCCTCTCTCAAAAAATCTTTGGGAAAAAATAATTCATAAACAATTTTTCCCCACCTTATCTCCCAAAACTACTCAACCCCCGCCAAAATTTTGGTTTTTAACCTAATAAAAATTTCTAATGAGCATTTTACAAGCTAGAACATATATTTCACTGGCCCAAAAGAGAAAAAAGAAGTCCCCCTGGGGATCTTCATTGATTTCGTTAAAAACTTTTGGGAAAACAGTTGACCATTTACTTCTCCCGTAAAAATTGTCAAAACTATGGTATAAGGGGCACTCCCCCAATTTCCCCCAAGTCTTCCTCACAACCGAAGCCCTTTTGTGACGCAAAGGGGCAAAAATTTCTGCGCAACCAAATTTAATTTGGGTTTTCCCACAGGGGAAGGGGCCCTTTCCCCCTTTTCTTCTTATACATAAAGACCCCTTTCCAAAAGCTTCGCAATTACTCAAACCCCCACTATTTGCAGGGTGACACTTCATACGTTTTTCTCTCAACCCCACCCATCACACTAACCAAAAAACCCGTAAATTTCCGAATTACAGAAAATATCACCTGGATGGGGGAAATAAAAATTACACTAAAAATTGACAAAACCTACTTCATTTAGTTTTGGGAACAGAGTCCGATGTCCCTCTTAAAATAATGATAAAAGGTCACCTATCACAAAGCTAACAAAGGGGAAAAATTTTTTGGAATTTCCCCCTTGAAATAGACTCAAATTTTATACACATATTTCAAAAAAATTTCTTAAAAAAATTTCCAAGATGTTGGCATACTATCGAAGATTCGGTACTATGTTCCACATCGAGCCCTCCTGGCCCTATATCACTCTCTTATTTACCCCTATCTCACCTATGGAATTTGTGCATGGGGCTCAACAACAGTTAACCATCTCAGACCACTAATTACCCAACAAAAGGCTGCAGTTAGAATGATAACAAATTCACTACAGGCAGCACACTCCACCAATTATTCAATACACTAAACCTACTCACCATACAAAACATCCATACTTATTACTGCACCTATTACATACATAGAACACTTAACTCTGATATTAACCCTCCCCTCAAACATCTCCTTGCCAACCTCAACAGAACACATGACCATAACACAAGGCACAGATCACTCTTTGATGTTCCTCGTGTTCATCTCACACTATGCAAAAACTCAATGCACATAAAAGGCCCTAAAATCTGGAATTCATTACCTGTAAATATAAAAGAAACACTACCTGTTTATAAATTCAAGTCTCTACTCAAAGATCACTTACTCACCCAAACCAAATAAATACTGAATAACTGAACCTTATAAATTGTATATCTTAAATGTTTCTCACAATTATATCACATAAATGTTAAACCTAAAACCCAATCTAACTTTATTATTTTTTAAATACACTACCTAACAGAATCCTTCATATGACCTGTCTTTGTAATACTCACTTGTGCTTTATAGTAATCTGTTTACATTAATGTTTTATCACTGACTTCATCATTGCTTAATTAATCTTAAGTTAATTTTAAGCCAGCCCGTAATGCTATGCATAGTATAAGTGGCTTTGGCATACTGCTCTTATCTGTATTTTTTTGTACCTCTGTATGTGTGCACAAATTTATAATAAATAAATAAATAAATAAATAAATAAATTACAAACAATACATGGACACAGAGGGTATATAAAGGCTCAGAGTGAGGTGCAATACTAGTGAGGTACCATTTCGATGTTCACTAGTGGTGGTGGTGGTGGTGGTGGTAGTAGTAGTAGTAGTAGTAGTAGTAGTAGTAGTAATAGTAGTGGTGACAAAAGTAATGCAATATGGTAGAGCAATTAATTCGTACATGAGTAAAAGGATATAAAAATAGTTTGGACAAATATAGAGTGGTAAGAGGCAGCTTGTTTCAGTGTTCACTCTCTGTAATGTGCTTTGTGTAGTATAACAGGAGAGACTATGTGATGGCAGGGTTTACTGTTTTCAGGAGGATTCTTGCTAAGACTTCGGAGATGGTGAAGCTGCCATTGTTTTGTTTAATTGTATTCGAAACAGTGATCAGTGCTGATTCGAGGCACTTGCGTCTGCGGAAATTAGTTTCTTTGATCACTAATTGGGCGTCTGAATTTCATGAGATGATTGGTGGAATTTCGGTGTTGTACACAGGCGTTGTTCAAGTTATCGTTCCTACATGTGTAAATGTGTTCATTGAGGCGGGTGTCGAGGTTTCTTGCTGTTTCACCTACGTAAATCTTGTCACAGCCTCCACAGGGTATAGTGTAAACTCTTGCATTGACTGGTTCGTGGTGCTTGGATTTTGTCCTGGTTAGATCCTTTATTGAAGTGCTAGAAGCGATGGCGACTCTGGTGTTAGCTTGTGAAAGTACTTTTGAGACGTTCAGTGCAACCTGGCTGTTGGGAGTGGTGTTGATGCGTGGAGAATTAATGATCTGAAGAGCTCTTTTCTTGCAGTCTTTGATGAAAAAAGAAGGAAAATGTAACTCTGTGATTGTTTGGTGAATGTATGTACATTCCTCGTCAAGAAACTCAGGACTACAAATTCGGTATGCTCTTAGGAAAAACCCGATGATGATGCCTCTTTTTGTCTTGGTATCTTGACTGGAATAGAAGTGTGTGAGATCATTTTTATTGGTGGGTTTCCGATAAACTTGAAATCTTAGGTTGTTGTCTACTTTG